TATGTCTGTATTGTTTGGTGCCCTCGATCATGAATCTGTATGCTAATGAATTTGCAATCGAAGTGATTATTAATCAATATTGATTAAATTCCACTTCTTGTCCAGATGACTGATAAATTGCTAAATGATTAATGAGTTCGAAAAATGTTTTAGTACAAGAGTTAACCTAGTTTTAAATACCTTGATGATTCTTCGCGGTAAGCCATTGCTCATACCCGCCATTGCGTAGTTCCGATTCTTGCAGCTCAACAGTCGGTCTGAAAAACAAATATTTAGGAAAAGAAATGGCTCGAACGCGACGAAGCGTAGAACGTCGCAAAGCAGTCGAAACATAATCCGTCAAAAGCGTATGTTAATGCCAATGAGAAGTGGTCCAGAAATTACGTAACACGAAAAAACAATATACAACAAACGATCATGTCAATAATATACAAATTCTAAAATTTACCCAGTCTTGCGTTTTTATTTGTCGAATGGTGGCAGAGTTGAAATAGTGTTAAATATGAATACAGGAAGTCGCAGGAACTACCCGCCAATGGAACATGCTGCAAAACTTAAACAGGCAATACAAATAAAAACACGACAAACGTATATGTCAATTATATACTACAATCTATTACAAGAATGCACAAGTCTTGCACTGTCAACTGCTGAATAGTAGCTGTGTTAGTAAAGCGCTCAGGTGCATTTTCCCACGGGTCAGAATAATTTCCTTCCGCGATTCCGCGTCTTCTCGGCAATCGCTGCCACTACGACGCAAACAAAAATAACGAAATTAGGGGTATACGAGCAAAAACCAACAAGACATAAAAATGCGTAGTCAAATACGCTCTGCTTCTTGGGTAATGAACATGATCATAAATTATGGATATAAATCAAGAATATTAAGAGCTCTCGTAGAAATCATGCGTCCGGTGCGAAAATATGGTATCAAAATGAATAAAACATCGATTATCTTTATCAACGCGGATACATTTCAAAAAATAATACATAAAGTTGCTCCCTTGAAAACGCTTTTCATGAAACTCAGAAATCATATAATCAGCAAATCGTCATTCTATTCATCGAATTACATTTGATAAGAACTGTCTGCTGACGATACATTAGCGGTTCCATTTACATGAAAATATTGACTGCAAACGAGAGTTTCATTTAGGTTTACGAAACAAAAGCCACAGGAACGTCGTATCGTCGCAACACGCGACTTCAACTGCAAACAAACTGAGAAAAAAAATCTCCGAACCGCAAAAAAGTCAAATTCACACATCATGGAAGCAAATTCATTAAAACATTTGAATAGCCGTTATGATCATAACCTTGAAACCTTCACAAAACTAGTCGACTGTGACATCCACTGCACTATCGATATTTCATCACATCTACTACAAGGCACGGGTTCAGCGTCGCACAAGGATTAATTGAGGAACCCTGTCGGCTTAAAGTTCAACCCAACTCCTACAGCGAAGTAAAAGTCTGAGAACATAAAAAACATTTCGGTCATGTCATAAAACATGATGGCATCTACTTTGGCAAAATGGTGCTACAAGCTTCGGCTCCGTGACTGGCACTGAAGGGAAGACGAAGACAAAGACACACAGAGATAATCAAACAGGCGAAATCTAACACCATTCATGTCACAGCGATTGCAAGACTAGTAGATGCGATGTGATACTGTACGTCGTATGTATCTACCCTCCGCGCAGGAGACGACAAGGAAAGAATGAGCTGATGACATACAGTAGCGTTGGATATCTGATATGTTTAGCAAAAAACCAACCTCTTTGCGGGTAACATAACAGGTGTACGACAAAATCCAAGAATGAGCTTTAACACAATATGCGCAGCATAATCGTGTAGAACCAACAGAGAGTAAGAACTCTTACAAAGCGACAAGGGTGCAAAAGTTCACAAAGCAAAAGCACTGCTGCTGACTACAGTAAAACAGGTTATTACACAGGTACCGCTGATTTACAGGTACCTTAAAATCAATTCTTTTTGTACCTGATGAGATGAACGGAACACGAGGCGATGTTTTGTAATGGACTGTGGCTATTTGGAGTACGAAGATGATTTTTGTTTGATGACATTTTCAGAAAACTTTCTGCTCATCGCGTCGACCGGCCTTTGCGTCGAGCGATTGTTTCTACGTCATCTTGAAATTTACTCCGACCCGTCAGTGCTCGTTTTGGTAGTGGGCACCAATCAGCAAGACCAGGACTACTTTTGTGAATGCGTTCGCAAAAGAGGTTGTGCCGAACCGAAGCGCCTTACCGGTGCAGCTGGCACCGGTGACCGCCATCTTATTTATTTAGAGGGTAAATGTTTGCCACAACCTAAGTTGAATCGCGTATGATGAACATTCTTTGCGTGAAAAGTTTTCTTCTCATACCCTCCTTTGTAGCGTACTTCTCGTTTGTGTTGCAGTACTAAATTTTGCCCGATGTCCGTCAGTTATTTCTTGACTGATTCGCGTTTTCTCTGTACTCTAGCCGGTATCCTGACTGTCTTTTTCCTTGCAGTCATCCCCACTGAATTATTATATATCATATTGATCTCCTGTATTTGCTGAAAGAGGCATTTTTATGATCCTGCCGATGGAGTAATGAATCATTCAGCTTTTCAGGAGCTTGTGCGGCATATTTTGGCTATATGAACATCTGGATCCCGCGAGAACCGTCGTTCGACATTACCCTACCTTTCAAATTCATGAGAGATTCTGTCAAAGAATGAAGCTTACTGCTAATCAGTTAAGAATAAAATCGTATTTATGCAGGTTAACCTCCGTTACTGTTTATTCGTAATTAAACTCAGCTCAGTTGTTGTAAATGTGTCCTGCTGCTGGTAACTACAATTTAGCATTTCAAACGACAAGACGTGCCTCTTCTTTCTGCAAGTCCTAAGGGATGATAAACTTCTCTCCTCGAGAATTAGCCCTTTTAATATCTAGGAGCAAGGTTTGCACCGTTTAACTTACTCTGATAATTTTATACTCTTTTAACATACCACGTGAATACGAAGGATATAGGAATATCGGCTGCTCGTTGTTGTGGAGCAGATTCTTACGCTAGGTAACATAATGATGCAAATTACTTCTGCGAACTACAACTGTTCAGATATTATGGAGTCGTTGTTCGCTTAAATAGCCTACGGGCATCGGGAAGTAGACAGCTGCTGCCAATATTGTTACAAGAGGAAAGAGAAGAAAGGAAAACAGTTGATGGAATGTCGGTCTTATACTTTAATTTTGGGGTCATTCTGGTGCCCTTCTTTTCATTAAGTTGATGTTACTGTGATGATTTCCGTTTCCATGTCATTAGCCAGGAGTGCCAGGATATTTTAGACGCAGACTCTACACGCGTGGCAAGCGCAGCGTTAGTCTTTTGTTTCTTTCTCACAGTGGTACTCATTTATCAACTCCGCAAGGAAGAACAGCGAGTAACCCTGACCGATAATTGAACCTTGAATATATCTTTATCTAGTTTGACGCTCTACCGACTGAGTAACTCCGGTTTGAAGCAATATGTAGTAAATTTTCAAGGGAATTCGTGAATAAGACAAAGATTGCCCACAAACGGAATGGAGCCAAGCATCTCTGGAGTTAGAGGCAGACCTCTTAGGGACTGCGCTTTCACACCACAGCAGGTAAGTGCACGAATTCATTTACTCAGTTTATACAGATATGATTCAAGGAAGAGGAAGTTACGAATAGAAGGAGAGATATGAGTAAGATTGGCGTATGAAGAATTGAAGAATCTAGAATAAATGGATTAAATTTGGTTGTACCAAAAGGAGTTCAAAACGAAATAAATGATGAAGAATTGAATAACCTACGGCAAAACTAGTTCTGATGAACCTCGCGAAGCATGTAGTAGATATTAAAGGTTGTTGAAAAGTTATGTAAGTAATTCATGAACATAAAATACCAACAGAATTAATTTTGTGATATATTAGTAATTGTCATAAAATATTTAATAATGATTCAAGTTATCGTAAATGTCACTTTCACCAATGTTTTACAGGTGGCGTTCAGTTTGTGACCACCAACATTTTGGTCAACGACCTGCTTAGCGAACGTTTGCCGACAAACTTGGTAACCGCAGTCCTGTTCTATCGGGCACACATTGTCGTCCGATCAGCGCTAGAGGCGTTCGTCTTGCGGACCATTCGACAGAAGAACCAACAATGCTTGGTCAAGGCGTTCAGCGATGATCCCCGAACGTTTTGCGAGAGCTTTGGACAACTCCAACGCGCCGCCACGATGCTGCAAGTGGAGAAGGTTCGGTTTATGCCTCGGTTTCAAGCTGAGGTACGCTATGCTAATTTTGTTCCACCTTTGTTCAGTTTTCAGTGACCACGGAACATATTAAATGTTAATAATTGTTCTTGTCCGGCGCAAAACAGTGACTTGTATCTCATCCTTTGCACTGCTTGCATTTAAATACTATGGAGCCGTGGTCTATGTAAGTGACCCCCTTTGGCGACTAGAAGCTAGGGGTTTAACCCTGTGTAATGATCATCATCTATATGTCTTACACTATCGCAGTATTGCTGCGAAGTAAGTAACTTGCCAGTTGTTTGCCGTGTAAATCAGGTCTCAGTAGTTGAAGGGTAATATTTGCTGGTGGCAGTATTGGAATGCTGCTATTCTTAGTAGTTATCGCATACCATCAGGGTTTTGCATTATTGTCTTTTTAATGATCTGTTGTCATCTTTACTGAATAACGGTAACAATAATTTCAGTGTTTTATGTCCGATTGACTCGCTGACTGACTGACTGACTGACTGACTGACTGACTGACTGACTGACTGACTGACTGACTGACTG